ACACACACACACACACACACACACACATAGATTAGTGGTGAGTGTTTGTGTATGGTGGGGTGCAAGGATCAGTGGGTGTGTTCCTGTGGATTTGGGGGTTCACAAAAGACACAAAAAAGCAAAAGTGATGTCATAAGGCTTGCTTTTCTTTCATATCAGTTCTTATCAGGGCAGTCATTTCTGACAGCAGAAAAAGCCTTTATCTGAAACCAACTGGGTCCGTCTGRGCCCTGGTGGACCGGGGCTCCCATCAACACACACAGAGCAGGTAATCGGCTCACTCCTAGAGTTCTGTGAGATGGGTTTGGGGAAGGAGGGGGCATCAGAGAATGGAAGAAAAGTGCTCTCGCTGAGTGTATCCCACCCCAGTTGGACTGGATTGAAGCCCACCAGTGTTCAGACCAGGTGCTCTGAAGGATGAAGGGGTGAGGGGTCGGTGGAGGGTTAATTTTCCCTGCAGCGTGAGACTGAATCCTGCTGTTTGCTGTCTGACAGATCATGCATGCGGAGGCTTTAACAGACCCTCCCAACCTGCTGTTGTGCCTGGAACTACAGCTCCACAAAAACCTCTTTGTCAGAACAAGTCAAATAAAACATACACTCTGTTTAAGATCTGTCCATCTGAAAGCATTTATTACTTTAATATCATGTATTTAGTCACGTGATCTGCATAATGTTYGCCATTAATACAGCATAATTGTTGCCACTTCATGTGCACAATCATGTCTTCTTTAAATGAAGTGATGGTGGGTTTCCATTGTTATGGATGACAGAGGAGGAGTTAATTAACAATGATTAGGAAGAACTACAGTCACTGAACAAACCAGAGAATCAGTAATTACTTCCCTTTCCTTATCCATCCTTCCCTTCACTTTCCTCTGCTTTCCATTAACTCTTTCCATATATTTCTTCCTTACAGCATCCATCAGAGAGCAGGAAGGGTTTGTATATTTGAGCTGGAGCGCCCTCTGCTGGCAGATCGTGTGTGAGGAAGTCGCTGAACTTCATGCAGCTACAGTAAGGGAATAGAAAAAAAATGTCAGTGAAAAAAATTAAAAAATAAATAATAAAGGAAGTATTTTGTGTCAAATGTTAAGCTGTTTTTTTACGTACAGCTGTGGTCAAAGGTATACATGCATTATGACTGTCAATAATTTTGTGTTTTAAATAATTTGTTTGAACCATTATGTTTGTTTGTTTGTTTGTTTGTTTGTTTGTTTGTTTGTTTGTTTGTTTGTTTGTTTCTCAATGTTGGCTAATTATATAACCTAAATTACTTTAAATCATATTACATTATTTTGAGTTTTTGGTGAATTGTAGTTTAATACATGGATAAAATCAAGCAAAAAATCTACATAAACCATTAGATTTTGGTTTAAAGTCCATAAGCAAGTAGTAATAT